GTTCTGTTTTCACCCTTATTTGACGCCTCCATACTTTGTTCCCCTCCTGTTCCATGGTATTTTTATAACACAGGCAACAACTTTTTTTTTTTTTTTAGGATTCAAGATTTTGAAATGTGCCTGTTACTAATTTTACAACTTTTATATAAAATCGCTTAGATGTACACATTCCTACTTAACTAGTTAATAGTATTTGGTGGCTCGCAGAGAATGAATTCAAGAAACTAACATCTACAAGGCGTAGGGCTGTTCGTAGCCGTGCCTTCGTGATGGCAAAGCATCAAGGTTCAGAGGGGCCTTGAGTAGGGAATGTTTTAAATAATTTATCATCGAGAAGAAAGCAATTCATCTCTTTCACTGGCAGCTCTATTTTTTTTTTTTTTAAATAAAAGGAATCTATGTCTTTCCTTGGGCATGTTAATTTTCAAATAAAGCAAAGACAAAATGAACACCCTACCTTAAAAATCTAACTATTTTTTAAAATCTAAAAATCTACTGAAGTTTGACCTTGGTAATTGAGGTTTTGTGATCATTTGGATGTGAAAGTTGTGCTTTGTACCATCAGTTAAAACTATTCCCTAAGCTGTTAATATAAAACAGACCAGAGCCTTAAAAAAAAAAATCTTTTAAATGTTCACTGTTAGATATTTTTGGTTAAAAAGAGTAACCCCTTTGTCAAAGCATTTTTTTCAAAAGTTAAATATATAATACTCATGCAGGTATAGAACGAACATGTATCAAAGATTTATGCAACTCGTTAATGAGGGAGCCAGCAGGATGTTAAAGCTGGTTTGGAGGAGAACTGAAAGAATGAGCTGGAAAGGCATTCAGGAAAGTGCGTCGGGATAAGATGCCAGGGTTAGGTATAAACTGATGAGCGGTCCAACAAGACAGTAAAACAGGATGGAAATCCTCTGCATCTCTAGTGGGCAGGAGTCTTTAAATTACCATTAACTTTCAAACTCTGGGCCTTCAGTCAGTGGTAAAGAACCCATCCAACCCAGATCCAGCCCCTCTGGGTAATGAGATCATCCTTGTGTGAGCTGTTCATACCCCACTCTGATGTTGCAAGAACACGCTTCTCTCCCTTACCTCCTTTACAAGTTTTGGATAATTTTTCTTAACATCTGATTATTAAAGTGAGCTTCCACTTATATGAGGTACCCAAGTAGTCAAATTCAGGGAGACACAGTAGAATGGTGCTTGCCAGAGGCTGGGGAAAAGAGGCAATGGGGAGTTATTGGTTAATGGGTATAGAGTTTCAGTTTTGCAAGACGAAAAATGTTCTGTGGATGGACGATGGTGTCGGTAGCATAACAAGGTGAATGCACTTAGGGCCACCAAGCCGTACACTTAAAATTGGTTACAACGGTAAATTTTATGCTGTGTTTATTTTACCACGGTTACACATTTTTAAAAAGTGAGCTGACACGTAGGTACATGAAGAAACATTCATTCTTCATCCTCTTGAGATAACCAATTTAATAACCCTACATTTGTGTTTACTCACATTTCCTTGTCCATAAAAACATAAGCAGACTTTTCAAAAATAGGATTATTAAAATTCTTTACTCTGTGACATTTGTTCCTTTCTGTTAACGATACATCATGGACAGGCCTCTGGGTGGTAGATATTGATCTAATCTACCCTCTTTAATACTAGCTCCATAGACCGTACATACTGTAATTTATTTAACTATTGCTCTACTGATGGAAATTCAGTTTGTTTCCATGTTTAGGGGGAGGTTTGCTTGCTTGCTTGCTTGCTTGCTTGCTTGCTTGCTTGCTTGCTTGCTTGCTTGCTTGCTTGCTTGCTTGCTTGCTTGCTTGCTTGCTTGCTTGCTTGCTTGCTTGCTTGCTTGCTTGCTTGCTTGCTTGCTTGCTTGCTTGCTTGCTTGCTTGCTTGCTTGCTTGCTTGCTTGCTTTCTTTCTTTCTTTCTTTCTTTCTTTCCTTTCTTTCTTTCTCTTCTCTCTCTCTCTCTCTCTCTCTCTCTCTGTTATAATAAAGTTGTTTTGCTATAGAAGAGTGATGCTGCAGGCTGGGATCTGAGTAGTGATGGCGAGAAGGTGGAGGAGGGAATGAATGATCAAAGACACGTTTTGTGGAGAAAATGGAGAAAATGGATTCGATTTAGGGGCCAATCGAAAATTTCGGTGTAAGAATGACAGAATGAACAGTGCTACCATTCTATTAAAAGAGAGGATAGAAGAAGAATAGCAGAAGGTTATAGAGGGGATGACAGAGAAGCTGAAAGGATAGGGTGGTGGTTTTTTTTTAAATGCCAGATTTGAGATGCTGTCTGTGCCTACGGGACAGCTAAAAGGTGGGGTCTAAACCTCGAGAAAGGCATCACAGATAGAGACATTGATCCTTTGCACAAAGTCATAGTTGAAACTGAGAATGGGTGAGATCTGTTCCCAGGGGGCTGCAGATCGTAGGAGAAGGAGATGGTGGGGGCCTGGCTGAGGAGACTGAGAAGTTGTGGTCAGAGGAGCAGGAGGAGGAGGAACGGGCAAGGAAAGCCTAGAGCAGCAAAGAGGGAAGAGTCTGAAATTGTGTCACAGCCAGTCCGTTCTTAGGAAATATAATAATGCTAAATATCTTAGGCATCGGCAGCATGGACTTTCCTTCTCACTGCTTATATATGCCTTTCATGACCCTGCCTCTGTGAGTCTTTCTTCAAATGCTGGTTTTCCTGTGTATAAAAGACCAGAAACAATACAATTTGGTAAGCCATATGGGCTACTGCTTTGAATTTAAGGACTAGACCAAATTAAATTGCAAAGGGGCAGAGTATAATGGCATTTGACTTCTCCCAACAGTAGTTACAAAGTCTTTTTTTTTTTTTCTGGCTACATTAGGTTCAGATAAACTAGGACTTTATTAATAAAGGAGAGCGTGTGTCAATTTTGCAAAAACCACGTAAACTAAAAAGCCTTCACCTAAGGAAGCAGCAAATACAAGAAATTTATAAAACACTTAGTTTTGAAGCTGTGTCCACAATCTGTATTAGCCTAAAATTACCCCATTGCCACCAGATCTTTTTATAAGGATCCGTACATTTTAAAACATACTGTAGGTGAATGGAGGAAAGAATAAAGGGAATTACTAGTAGCCCAAACACATTAATTTGTCACTTCTCATGGCTGTGAGAAATACCCAAGATTGGAAGAGCAAGTGGGTCATCAGAACTGCCGATGTCATGAAGGGTTGAAATCTGGGGGAACTCGCCAAGTTTGAGGCTGGAGTCAACTTAATTCAAAAATTGTGTTCCCAGTATTACCTTAGATACCGTGGTTGAAGGTTCCCGAAGAAGAATCTAAAGAAGTGAAGACAAGGACTCTTACCCATAAAGCACTTTGTCAGTGTGTGGGAAAATAAGATATGTACATAGGAGAATATTGGAGAAAAGTCTCTCAGGTGTTCTGTGACCCCCCAGGACTGTGGTTGTTGCTGTTGAAAGAATTTGCAGTCTCAGGGAGGTTAGTCTGTTCTTGCATTCGTTCCCTCAACCTGCAGGACCCATGCGTAAGGAAGAAGCAGGTGTGAGAACAGTGGGGGTGCTGGCAGGTTAGAGGAGGCAGCAGGTGGCGAATGAGCTGTTTTCCAGGTAATGTGATCACAGTAGTATTTATAGGGTGGTCATTTTCAGGCGTGATGGACTCAGGCCATCATCTTGGGTTACTTGATTGTAAATTGTAAAGAACGAGGTCATAGCTTTGGAGTGTGGATCTAAACGAAGACTGACGAATCCACAGTGGAAGCTAGTTTATAGATTCTGTGTCACCTTGAATATCTTCAATAGAATTAGTTAAGACCGCTTACTGAGGGCGGGGGAGTAGTTGCCTCAGTCAGAATCTTACTGTAATCAATACTGGTTCATCTAGGTGCATTAACGAGTCATGGGAACTAATCAGAAGAAACTTGAAAGAGTTTTAGTAGGTCTTTAGCCAAGCAACTTAGTAATTGAACTCACCTCCTCTCAGCCCCCACTGAGGGCTGATTCCAGCCGCTTGCGGGAATAATCAAGAAGAATCCTCCTGGCTCCTTTGCCTAAGATCCTTGACTGTCTAGGAGCCACCCAACGCCGGGGATCGAGAGTTTCCAGCTTTAGCTGCTGCTTCCCAGCCCTTTGGCAGTAAAAATCCTTACGCTCAGGGGCTACATTAGGCTTCATTTTTGGACAAGTGGCTGTGCCCTCCTCTGGCCTTGTCAGAGAACAGGCCCAAGCCCCAGGCATCCCAGGACCATCTTCTCTGAACCATCTCCATCATCCAAAGCCGCACAGTTCAGAAAGAAGCACCAAAATACAGACACAACAAAAGCATCCTCTTTTGCATGCACTGAGGTCCTGAACGACAATTTTATCTTGGACAAGTTCCCTTTTCTTTCCTCTTTTGCTCTGTTCATTTTTGTCTCTGTCTCTCTATAATATATAAATAATTGGCTTATCCTATTTACTGCACAAAGAGAAAATTAAACATCTGAATTTTTCATAGCTACGGGGAGAGTATTTCCAGAGTGTGAAAAAATAGACATTGGACATTTCGGCTACTGCTTTTGGTATAGTGGGAATTTATTACTCAGTTCAGTAACAATGTTGGCCCAAACCAAGCAGTTATGTAGGCAAGCAATGGCTACCTTTCCTAAATAGCACTGCCAGCGACCGCCTTGTTCATATTTGAGACAGCCTGAACCATGGGTAGCTTTCCATCAAAGACTATTTGATTATCTCTGCATCTTAGACATACCACAAAAGTCATTGAGACCTGGCCAGTGGATTTTACTTGTATGAGATATTGCATAGCTCCCAAGGGAAGGGAAACAAAAGGGGAGGGAGGCAAGAGAGAAATCAGAGCCCAACAATAAATAGCTCTTTGTGCCAGTCCCCTCCCCTAACCACTGAGATCACAGAGTAAGTTAACAGCATGCAGTGGAAGGCAGCTGCTGCCCAGCAGCTTGGCAGATGATGACCAGATGTGAACTTGTCTTTCTACAGTGTGTGGCTGTGACCTGGCGCAAGGTGGCTTCTTCATAAAGAACGGGGAGTATCTTTGCACCCTGGACTACCAGCGGATGTATGGGACACGCTGCCACGGATGTGGGGAGTTCGTGGAAGGAGAGGTGGTGACTGCCCTGGGCAAGACCTACCACCCCAACTGCTTTGCTTGTACTATCTGCAAGTAAGTGAGGGCTTCCCAACGGAGAAATGCTGGCTTCTGCTGTCAAAGCTTGGGATGTACACCTTTAGTCTTGAGTTGTACTTAGTCTTAAACTATTCTTTTCTTATGTGTCCTTAGTTTTCTTTATCTTTCTACTGTATTATCAGCCTTAGTCAAAAAGTAATTTATGATGTCCTCCATTCAATAAGATGACTGATGTTAAGTGGTCTGAAAGCAAGTCTGAGAGCAGCTCTAGATGCGAAACCTTTTGAGCAATGAAACATTGGGAGGAAAGGGCGTGACTGCTTCACAAGATAAAGCTTATTTGGAGGTGAACAAGGAGTGGGAAGCTGTGCATTTATTGCTGTGCTTTGAGTGCTACACATTATAGAACTTAAATTGGGATTGATTCCTGTAATGAGGAGATTCACCAGCTTTTATTGATCAGTTTAATCAGCCAATCCCATGGCTGTTGGAATGACAGTGATTGTTCTAGGCTCCATGGTGTTCTGCCTTTCTAAAAGCTGCAGTTCAGAGAAGGTGTTTTGTTTTCTTTTTCAGCATTTCATGTTTCTGGGCCAGAGAGGTATAAACTCGAGAAGGGTACATTTAATTTAATGTAATTAATTAACAAGGCGATACTGATAGATGAATCATAATATGGAGGAAATATTCATAATGTAATTATTTTAATAATTGTTATAGTGATTAGCCCATTTGTCAATACATTTTTTAAAATCATAATTTAACATTTTGCATTAACAAGATGAAAATTTTCTCATATTTAATCAAAACCAGAGTTTCTGACCTGTCCTGTTTCGGGTTGATTCAAAGCTCTGGGCTGGTGTTCAGGAGACCTAAGGTCCTGCTCTATCCCATGCTGACTTGAGACTTACAAAATTAACTTTTCCAAGGCGGTTGTCTCGTCTGTAAAATGAGAGGCTGCGGACTAGATACGAACGGTTCCCCAAAGCTGGATGATCACTGGACTCTTTTGGGGGAGTGTCTTTTTAAAAAATATCCATTTCTAGACTTCTCTCCCCCAAAACTCTCATGCTTATTTAATAGTTTCTGGAGGGTTCCCAAATGTGATGTGACTCAGCCAGGTTGTAGGCCCTGGCCCAGATGAATTCCAACAGCCCTCCCTCCTGACCTTGGCCCTGAGAGATTATTGTTTCAAAGCCAGTAGCAGTGGACAAACATGTATGGGCAATGGCTCTGTCCTTGGACATTTGAGCCAGCAGGAGGTGCTCATTGTTGCTACAGCCGCTACAGCTGCCGAGTGACTGTAATTCTACCTGAATTGGAGGCCTCCTTCACAGTTGACAGATGCATTCGTGTAGAATTTCATTTCACCCTCTTAGCAATTCTGGGACATCAGTCAGGAATTAGTGTCCCCATGTATAAGTGACTCCGAGTCCCAGAGTTTAAGAGACTTTCCTGGGTTAACATTGCAAGGCTGAGATTGGAACTCAGGTTTTCTGATTCTACATCCAGCTCTCTTTGTACCTCGCACATGCGTGCCAGTAGCGGAAGGGAGCGAATCCGCGTGGGCAGAGAACATAGGAAACTACTTGAAAAGGGTCGTTTATGAAATAACGAAACTCAGAGTTCAAAAGACGGGGCCCTGCGTTGAGAACTGGACTCCGGCTTGTCCCATAATGGGTCCAGATAGGATTCAAGTCTAAACATGTAAGCTCAGATCAGAGGCAAGGCCTTGACGAGGGTGAGACCAGTGAGAGTCCTGGGGGCTCTCACTGTCAGGGTCATGCAGCCCAGGGTCATCTCCCGAGAACCTCTTTGGTGTGTGGCCTGGGTGCTTCCTGGCCTCACTGTAGTCCTGGAACCGTGATCAGACGCAAAGAACCTGTGCTGCTTGCGCTATGAACTCTTCACTCCCCGAGGCCCATCTCACAGAGCAAGTTCTGAGTCGGCAGATGTCACCTGCACCTGCCTATGACCTGGTCTTCCTAGCTGTTCACTCCAGGCAAGTCACTTAATCTGGGTTTTATCTGAGTGATGGAAAGCAACACAGCACCCTGAGGGGAGAGGAGACCACCTCAACTCACAACTTCTCAAATCTGGGGGCGTAAGAGTTTAAAATTCTACTTGATGACTGGCAGCGAGCACTGTGGAGTTGACTGAAGTCTAGATTTACGACCTGTGAGTGGATTACAGTTAATTACTACCATTAGGCAGCCGAAGGGCAACCTAAAGGAGGGATAGCAGTCGTGAAAGAAGCTTGAATTTTTTTCTTAGGTTATTGCTCTGACTCAGATGTGTGGGGATGTTTTGCTTGTGAGTTTTCCATTTCCAGTTGACACAATCACACATTCGAAAAACTCATGTCGATGAAGATTATCGACAAATTGGCCAATTGCAAGTAAGTAGGTGTGGAAACTGTCATAGGGCTCTTAATTAATGACCTTTTTTTAAAAAAGCTATCTGCCTGCTGATAACATACGTGCAGAAGGCAGTATTTTTGCAAAATGCACTGTTGTTGATGGATGTCTGGTGTGAAAGGAAATTATCTTCCTGATAAGAAGCTAATACTACTTTTTAAACAGATATTTACAGCATTGTTGTATTTCTCCACAAGAGACTGGGTCCCAGCACGGTGATACATTCAGGTCACCTATTCAGATGTCCAGGACAAAGTCTAATTCAGCATAATTTACCACATAGGTCTAGGGCACTGAAAGAGTTAATGCTTGACCTATGACCAGTTCTCTTGGGGAAGGGCCTTAAGCTTGAACAGGAATTTATGGCATTTAAAATGTTTTTTTTTTTTTTTACATGAAGAATTTCTCATTTGGAAAATGGAAAATGTTACGGTGTGCCCTGCTGAGTGACTTGTTGGAACATCCCTCCGCTAGTGAGTGGAGGTGAATCATTCCCTTTACTATCTGGTTGCCCATAGAAGCAGTGCGTTCTCCCTTCTCAAAATGAGGCACGTTTATTTGTTTGGACCATATCCAGCTGGCCGGCTGACTTAAGACATTTTGGCCGGGGCTCCTGCAAGAAGTGAATTGGCGTCGAGTACAGCGAGCAGAAGGCATGAAGAAAGGAATGAAATGGTTGGAATAATCTGGAGGGCAATGTCTTTCTGTCTCTAGGCGCCCGTTTCCACCCGGAGACCGAGTCACATTCAATGGGAGAGACTGCCTCTGTCAACTCTGTGCCCAGCCGATGTCCGCCAGCCCTAAAGAAGCCTCCTGCTCCAGCAGTAAGTGCCCCCAGCCACCCGTTGACATGAGTTCCTCATGGCTCAAAGGTAGCTTAGGTGCTTTCCTTTTTGCAAAACTCTGTTAGCTGGGGCCGAGAGTCATCCTGTATGAGGTATTTTCAATTGTAAAACGTAAAACCTTGACTAAAACTCATGCAGTGAGAAGGATCTTCCTCATTTCAAAAAGACGTACATAGAACTGGACATTCACCTGTGCATTTTGGCAGTATATGAGGGAAAAAGAATTATAAAACTTTAAATTAGGAATGCTGTCCCTTAGTCATGGAGGTTGCGATGTGAGAGCATTTGACGATATTTCTGTATTGGTAAAAAACTGTCCCCACTGTGCCTCGGGCAGCTCTGATGATTTATACTTCTCCTTAAATAATTGTTTATTCTGTCTTACCCTTAAATATTCTTTATTCACCTGAATGGTTTCTGATGTTTATTCATTGGACAGATAATTTTCGAGTGCCTGCGATATGTATTGTTTACACTGGTGACGTAAGCATGACCAGAACAAATTCAGCACCCTCAACAAGCTTACTTTCTAGTGGAGCAGATAGACCAATGCGTTCAAAAGTATTATGTGAAGAAAAAGTAGGAAGAAAAAGAGTAAGGGGACTTCATTTATATGGGATTAGGGGGGGAGACTCCTCTTAAAAGGTGACCCCTAAGGAGACAGCTGAAACAAGAGTGAGAATAAGCTACACATATGCGGAATGTGTAATTCTTTATGACAAGGTCTTGTCCAATCTGTGGGAATCCAAAGAAAACCAACCTTCCCAAAATAAAAATAGTGGCCAATGCCACTGTTTCTTCTAGTAAATAACAGTGAGTAGGCCAGCGAACCTTCAAGTGAGATGTATTCTGAACTATGGGCACCAAGAATGGAAACTCTACTTCTGCCTGCTTCCTGGGCTATTAGGAAGTGGGCTAGAGGTTGGCCTTGGCTTCCGTGGATTTTGCTAGTCCTCGGAAAACCTGGAACAAATACCTTTAAGCCCTGCTGGTCTCAGCGCATAAGAAGGAGACAAGGCACTTCTGCTCCGGAGGAATTCTGTGCAATTTATAAGAGTGATTCCAAATCTTCCCGTTAAAGTCGAAGAATCCTGATACCTGTTAAAAATAAGAATGTTCTGACGAAATCATTTGCATAGAAATTAGATTTTGACCATTGGGAGAGAAGAAAATAAATGGTAGTATATCTCACTCAACACGACTTGATCCTTAACATCAGGATGTGTATGCCCTGCTGGTCTTATTACCAGCCTGGGTAGAGCAGAGGCTACAAAGCAGCACATAGTCCCAGACCCCAAGTAGGATTTTGAGTCCTTCACTGTCTTGCCTACCCTGCCCCGAGCAAGTCATTGGGAAGGTGACCTGGGGTGGGAATAGTCACCTCCAAAGCAAGGAAGGCTTGCTTTGAAAGAACATTACCAAAAACATTCGAGGAATTCTTTAGACTCATTAAGATAAAAGATTTCGTGAGTCCCAGGTGAGGATGACAGATACGACAGAGGATCATGTCCACAGGCCTATAATAGGAATGGCTGTGTCCTTAAACTCTGCAAATTCAGCAGGTCTTCCAGTCCAACTGTCTTTCTTGACAAGTGGGGAAATTGAGGCCCATGGGCATACCCAGCCTTTCCGGAAATAAGGTCAGGTTTGAGGCAAGTCTTCGGGCTCCTGGTTTGGGGCTTTCTCTTTCATTTCATCTAATATGCCTCATTGTTTGGATTAAGAAGCAGAAGTGGGATATTTTTAAAGGCTTCCAGCCCTCTCCATCCATGCAGTTTGGGAACCCATTTCCTGGTCACCGCTATTCCAAAATGGTTATTCCAATTTTTATTAAACATCTCTTTTGCTTTATCTATACTTTCTATTTTTATGTGACATACATGTTATGCACGTAAATAATAAAAAATTTTAGTGCAAAAAACATATATTCAAATATTAATTGTAATAATAGATGTAATAATAATTGTTTATGTACAAATTTTTAGATCTAATAATAGATGTAATAATAATTGTTTATGTACAAATTTTTAGATCATATTTTCTCCTTGGCTCCCAGTGGGTGAAATCCCAATTCTATGCAACTGCTTTGATCAGTTTGTTGTTATTCTCAACAAGTACTTGTCTATTTAGATAAGTACTCAAATAGCATTTGTGGGGCATGTGGATACGGGTGTCTGTCAAGAAGAAAGCTCTTATATGTAGAGACACACATGCAAAACATCCAGGCAAGGCAGGCACGCAAATACTAGAGTAAGAGAATTTTCAGCAAGTTTCTGAAATTCACTAGAGCAAAATTAGAAGAAACGGTCATTATTTGTAATTCTCGAAGAATTGCCTTGTACTTTAAAACTATCCTGATGTGACTTTGATTCTTATTTAAAAAAAAACAACAACAAAATTAAGTCAGCAAAGCTTCCTAAATAAACGCAAAAAAAACGAAACTCTTCTTTGATAAAGTTCACAGCGTTGATGAACTATATCAGAGAGCCAGGATCCTCTTTTTCCTTTGAAATGTTCTTTCAGAAATGAGTTTGCTCCTCTGAACCGCGATTTTATTTCACATGCTGTGCTGGTTTTCCATAATCACCGAATAGCAGGTGAAGACAGCGTTAAGAGGGAGAGAAGCGAAGAGTAGCCAACAGACGCCGAGTAATTTACACGAAATGGTCTCAGTTTGAGCTTACTAGATAGAGATGCAGTTTCTATTTTGGCCGTTCAGGGGCTGCCATGTGATTTAGGGAGAACTCCCAGCAAAATGCCTGTGATGTCACAGGCACTTGGCTCTGAGCTTCCTTCCACCTTACAATAATCCTGCTCACCTTTACATCTATTTTATTTTCTTTGTCAAACGTTTCCATAGTACTCCTTGTGTATCAGGCACTGTGTAACCGTTCTAAAAATTTTAACTCATTTAATTCCCTGTAGGGTGGTAGTTTTCACAGATGAAGAAGCAGAGTCATAGAGGTTAAATGATTGTGCCCAAGATTGCACAGATAGTAAGTGGCGGAGCTGGGACACAAACCTCAGCTTTCTGGCTCCAAATGTCATGCCCCCATGCCTGATATTTATTTTACAACATTGCGACCACTCTCTCATTTTCAAAGATGGCCGTGCTGGGCCTTGGAGCAGTGACCTGGCTTGTCTGCAGATTTGTCCACACGTCCCACCTCCAAGGGATGTGCACTTTCTACCTGTCACGGTTGCCTCCCTGTCGTAGCAAGATTTGGTGAATGGAAACCATCAGGAAGTTATTCATAGAAACAAACTACTTCAATTAAGGATTATTGCCCCTGAATTAATTAAAACTCTTGCTGCATCCAGTCTAATGCAATTTGAATTTAATAAGCAATAAACCTTTTATAACATGGAGAGGATAGTAAGTTACCTCACAGGGTTGTAATGAACATTACTTACACTACATCCACTAGCAATAAAAAAAAAAATCAATTGCCTGTGTCTAGCTGATCCATACTTTAGAAATACAAATGTATGTCCAGAAGACAGTAGACTCTACCAGAGGTTCCAGACACTCCTCTAAGGCTTAATTCCACTCCATTGTCCATGTATTTGCCAGTAACTGAGGAACCAGATTCCCTGGGTTAAGGAGCCATGTGAGGGGGAGTCTCTGTGTGTGACAACCTAGAGCATGGGGAATCAGGTTGGATTGTCATTTGCTACGCGGCTCCTGTCTATTTCAGGTAACTGAGCAGGAGTGGGCTGCTGTCTACAATTACTCTTTCCATTTCAAGTGGCGTCTGACTAGTGTCTGATTGCGAGTAGGTTGGGTGGATTGATGTGAGGAACACCCACACGCAAATACACCCAAACCCATCTTCTCTTCTCTCCCCTCCGTATAGCATTGCCGTTCTGACTGCCATTGGAACTCCTGCAGGTCTCAGGACAAATGCTCTACTTGGACTGAATTTAAATCATTTCAGATAAAGAGTCACATGCATGTTTTCAAAAGGAAGGAAAAATTTCTCAATTATTTTACTTTTCTATTTGGTGCAATAGCCTTTAAGAGTTGCAAGATAATTTTCCTTTTTATGTTCTCTCTCAAAAAATCGTTTGCCGGTCGAGTGGGATTTGTCTGCTGAGGCACCTAACAATAGGTGGAGTAGTGATTATCTAACACTTCTTAGCGGTCCCCTTACCTCTCCATCCTCTATTTTCCCATCTGTAAAGTGGGATCATGATAGATATGTACTTTGTAGGGTTAACTGAGTAAATAAAGTGCTGTATACTTATAATATACTAACTTACTCTTCAGGCATTAATTTCTGAATTTTTATGTAAACAGTTCCTACTTTTTGTAACTCTGCTCTCTTTACTCTTCTGTGGATGACAGCTGTCTTTATTTGCTCATTTGATATTTTCCACCAATATAAAAGCCAGCGAAGGCAGGGACACACCCACCCATATAGCCCATGGATTGTTGAAGTCTGACTTACAGTGATGTGTTTTATGGCAGGGTCTCCAAAAACAGATCTGCTCCTCCTTCTTTAGACACATTCTTCCTGTAGGACAGGGCGGCAGAGGAGGTTTGGTAGGGCACTGCTAAAGATTATGGGTTCTGGACAGGTTGATAGCCGGTTCTATTCCCAGTTCTACCACTTAACAGGCTGTGTTGCCTTGAGAACTCAATCTTTTTATGTTTCTGCTTCTTTGCCTATAAAATGGTAAGCCATGATAGTTCCTTTCTCAATGGGTTGTTGTAAGGATTAGTATAAGTATTTCTATAAGTAAAGTATTAGGATTAGTATAAGAGTCATGACATCTAGTAAGCACATCTGTATATTAACTAATCATTGTTCTTTAAGGAAGTTACGAGACTAGAACTTGAGCTTAGAGATACTAAGAATCAGAAAGGAAAGAAGGCAGAGGACATAGCATAATGGTTAAGAATGTGGGCTCTCCATTTCAGAGTTCCTGGTTTGAATCCTAGTCCTGCCTTTTCCTAGCCATGGAGCCTTGGGCAA